CTATATAAGATGGAGAAGGCCATTTTATCCCGGTCAATGAATATTATGCGGGCAAAGTCGCGGGTATAAACCAGTTCTAAATAATGGATGGCTACACCAGTGTCATCTACGTAGCCTGTCTAATCAACCCTGCTGTCTCTCCTGGAAATCATTGTTATAAATTTCTGGTGAATTCGTCGATAGTCATATCTTCATCTTCTCCTACCATCCGCTACTAATGTCCTATCAGTATATCAATCATACTATTTTATTTTCATTTCATAAAATATAACTTTAACTTACACATTAGGGATTGTAGTCGTGAGCATATATTTTTTAAGAATTTTAGCTACTACGTAAACACAAAGTTTGGGTATATGATTACATATAAATAAAGAGGCAAAGTGTCTGCAACAACTGGCGTCCATGTCTATGTCGCGTGTTGACTCGCGTCGCGTCGCGTCGCGTCATTATTTAGTCGTCTCTTGCTAGTCGCCCGTCACACACATCTGCCTTCCAACTTATCTACATAATATCGATTACTTTACTCCAACAATTTTATGTACAACATATTTGTTTTTATATACATATTACACTGTAGATATTTGAAATAGAGATGTAGTAAGGAAATATTAATACTATAATTTGTTGATGTTATCATAGAAACAGGCTTTAAATAAAGTTACTAATAAATTGAAACATTCAATGAAATTATTTTGGATTTGACATCAGACTGTCTTATATTCATTTGTTTCTATTTTTATAAATTTTATGGAAATAGATTGTAAGTAACTAATTCTGTAAAAACAAATGTGCATGTAACTTATTTATGTAGGCTCTTTAACAAATAATATAATGATAATATTACTATCATTGGTAAAAATTAAACTATTGTTTCTTTAAAAGAAAAACAGGATATAACATATATTTGAGATACCATTACAAATTCTTTACTTTTTCAATTTTTGTTTATGAAATATATTTTTTAATTAACTTAGAGTGGCAAACAAGCTGACGGCGCACTTGATGAATAGTGGTAACCGTCGCTTATAGACATGAATAGTGCAATGGACATAACAGAGTATATTGTGTCGAATTTGATTGATATGTTAGTAATGGGCGATCCTTTCGTGATTACAATTTTTTATTTCTTTTTTATTATAGGTATTCCTTAAATAAACTAGGAAAACTAATAATGTTAAGATTAGGAGCAACGTAAATTGGCGTAACAATTTTCTCAGAAATAAGAATACAAATAGAATTTTTTATTTTTATTTCATATTTTTCGAATGCGTTGTAGTCGAATGATACCTGTAGACTCCGAATTCATAGATCGTGAGTTCAATCTAAACGACATCAAGTAGCAATTTATGATGAATGTTTTCTGTTCATAAAAAAATATGTCTTGAATTATAAATATATATATATATATATATATATATATATATATATATATATATATATATATATATATATATATATATATATATATATATATATATATATATATATATATATATTAATTCAAGACATATTTTATATACATAACATATTGTATAATATATATACATATTGTATATATATTATACAATATGTAAATAAATTAATTTTTGGTAATATCCAGTTACTATATATATATTATAATATATATATAATATATTATATTCGCACACCTATAAATCCTACGCGAGTCGCCTACTCGCGTCGGCTTTATAAGTGTGCGAATTAGGACGTCTACAAGCTTTCAGTAAATAAATATATAAATGATAGTATCAAAATACACTGCGTGGTTTATAAAGAGTAGGCAGAGAAATAAACATGGATTATTATTTTTGTTTTATATTATTTAAAATATAAAGCTATGTTTCATATAAACACTTAGAGCTGAAACTGCAAAATCATTTTAGCCCACCTTAATATCGCAGTGTGCATGAGATGTGCGGCGTCAGAAGCAGAGGCAGAAAAACAGGGATACAAATAAATTGGAGTAGTGAGCCGACGTCAGGTTCATCCTTTTAGCCAGAGGATTGATTAGACGATTGCCGGGTAATTAATTGGACACATCCGGCGAGTTCAATTCCTCTTTTTTGTCTCTTCGCTGTGATTAACTGAATCCAGTTTTTCTCGTCGTAATTGAATATTTCCAACTTTTCCTTTTAGAAATCCATGAGATTGTTTTCTTTTGTAAATAGTGTTATATAAAATATTTAACGGTATTAATGTAGATTTAGTACAAATAGTAAGTTTCATATTTTTATGTATCTAATACTAAAATGCAGGCAGCAACTATAATTTATTCTCGTGTATAAACAAAATATATGAAATAATTATATAAATACTTCTGTGTATAAAATATTACCCACATATTATGTTACTAAACTTGTGAAATGTTATATATATAATAAAATAGGATGCTAATTAAGGCTGCCCCATGATAAAAAGGTCTTTACAAACATTTACATACCTAACTACATGTTTATTGACCTTAAGAAATATGAGTAGTACAGAAGATCTAAATATGTAGGTTATTTCAATTAAGGCGGTGTGAAGAAATATGATCAGAAGATATAAATATATTTTAACAATGTATTTGTGCAAAAGTAAAGAATATTCTGTAATATTAATTGTGTCTGCGACTTTTCCGTATAAATACGGAAAATTGATCTACCACATATCTTTTTCTATACTATATATTCTGTGTTACACTAAATGAACATAATGACTCGTTAAGGTGAGGTAAGAATTATGCAATCTCATATTATATTGTTACTCCAGTAGCTGTCATATAAATGTAATTGGTTCGTTTTTAACACAATAAGCATGGATGAATTTCTCACTTGGGTGTATCAAAACTGTATCTTTATGTAGGTATATCTTCTCTATATAGGTAAGCAAAAATGTTGAAAGGTGTAGCAAACGATCAAGTGTGAGGCAATGGCGAGAGATACGACGGGCGTTCCTTCGATCAACGAGAATTTGAAACTTTGATGGCACACCTCTTTCGGTAGATTCAACCCACTTTAGTTTATGGAGGCTCCATTTTATTACTCCAGTTTCCTGTCTTGCATTTCAGATATCTAGGCATTTTTAGAGTCAACAAAAAGTGAAATGATAGAAGGGAAGAATTGAAAGAGAATAATTTATTCTCAGAGTCTTACGAACATTAAAAAAATATATTATTTTCATTTATAATTGTCATATTTTTGTGCAATTTTGTAAGATGCAGCCAAGTCGACGGCCTAAATGCGATAAAGTGTTAAATGCCCATTACAGTTTCAGTGGAAGAGACCATTATGGATTAATGGGCTACCTCTTCTATTCTTGTGGGTGTCGTAAGAGGTGACAAAACATCGCCAATGCCTAACTGCGGTTGTCAATCCACCTGTCACGTATAGTAACTACTGGCAAAATCCCCCAATAGGTGGAGACCTATGTTCATCAGTGGATAAATTACGTATCTGCATAAAATTGATATGGGCACCTACTTTATTTATTTACATGCTTTTGTACATGCACTTATAGTATAGATATTAGGTTATAACAAAAATGAACATAGGCGGACTTATTCCTTAAAGGGATTTCTTCCGGTCAACCTGGAGAACCTGAAAGGAGGAAGTGTCTTTAGAGTTTGTATATGATTAATTTTTTTATTCTTTCATAGCAAAGGTAGTAAAAATATAGTATTACAATTATAACTCTGACTCAATATTACAGAACTTACTGAAATTGTTAAAATTGTTAACTAAGTAATTGTTAATGAGTTGAGGGATTATAAAGGATTTCTGGAAAGTGGAAATGTCAGTCAATCTGAACTTGGGATCTTATAAATTTATACTGAGTATTCCATTATAAAACTGTAGATCTATTAAGTACCTATATAATTTGTGATACTAAGAAGCACTCTTGTTCGTAGATTCTATTGAAAATATAAATTAAACATCTGTCAACATTTTTGGGTGTTTGTTACTTAATTATCGTTAACATAACAGCTGAACGTATGTGAACTAAATTTCGTACCTGCACGGAATCACATTCTAGATTATTTGATGTAACATATAATAGGGAACATTTTATCCAATTTAATTATTCATACTCGTATTTTGTGTTAATGAGATTAATGATCGCGAAATACGAGTAGCTTAAATGATTACCAAAGTAATTTAATAAAGAATTAAGTGAAGGTTTATGATATTTTTTTAATGTATTATAAAGGAATGGTAACTTCGCCTGCGCTAACGGTATGCGCTTGCGGGGCACCAATAAGGGATGATAGGTGAGAATGAAAAGGCAGGTCAGTTAGCCTATCGTGATGAATACATTTTGGTTTTAGCACGATGGCTTCCAGGGGGGATCACGTGGAGGTCGATCTAAAAGGGTATATATTTGTTTTTTTATGGGTGAAAATGGTATGGTAACCTCGCCTGCGCTAACGGGATACGCTGGCGGAGCACCAGTGAAGAGTGATAGATGAGAATGAAAAGAGGCCAGTTAGCCCATCATGATGAATTCATTAGGAATTAACCATGATAGTTTCCAGGGAGAACCGTGAGGAGGTCGACCTGGTTGGGTATATTGCTAGCAATGGGATTCTCAGTGTCCATTACTAACAATCCCTTTCTCCCCGAAAGAGTATATTGTTAGTAATGGGACTAGTAGCCTGCATTACTAACAACCCCTTACCCCCAGGTTTATGGTATTGAAAATAACTCCTTATTTTCCACAGTTTTATAATAATTTTATAATTCATTACTACGAAAGGAGATTAGTTTTTAATATTTAAAATATATTCGCTTGAATGAAAATCAATGTTTAATTATATCTCTAACATACGCTTATCTAATTTGCGTTTTAAAAATCAGAGTCGACAAGTTATTCACATAATTATTCGTGTAGGTAGGTGATGCATAATTAAAAGAAATTACATTTGTTTCTTATTTTATTCGTTTAATTCCAATTTTAGATGCTTTTACTTAAATAACTTATATCTAACAGATGTTTACTTAAATTTTATTTAATCGTTCATTATCTATTACTGAATATGGATAAATTATATTAATAATAAATATTATGTACTTACGCAAATATTTTACATTCGACAAAATTAGTGATTTATTTTTACAATAAATACATGTTGATACATGTCAGAAAAGTAAGTAATACTATTTTTATTCCACTATATATAATAAAAATAAGTAAATATATATACTTATATTTTTTTTCTATCACAGAATATTCAACGCATGTTACCATCACCAATAACCATTTTTTATTTAAGTTTAAATTTTAAATGGTTCAGATTTGAAGAATTGAAATGCATATAATCCTGTATATCTGTATTTATTAAAATAAATGCAGATATTGATCAGACACTATCGTTTACACATAAAAACAACTTCAATTTTAACCAAGTTAGTTTAAATGTTCAATTAAAAAAATCATCAACATCGGTTCAAAATTGGCGAAGATATCGCGTAACGTGCACACAAATATATACCAGTCGAATTGAGAACATTTTCCTTTTTGAAGTCGGTTGATAATTAGGCATCTAAAATATAATACGACTAGTTTTTGAAAACAGATGATACATGTAACAAATAAAATATCTAAGTACATCAAATAAGTACCTACTCACATAGTAAAGGTATTAGTATAATATGATGTTTATTAATTATGTCAAATGTATTTGAGTTATCAAAAATGGCATTTTATGCTTTAATGCTGATTTAAAATTAATCGTAAACCTAATATATTTAGAGTTTCATTCAAATCATTTATTCAAAATCCTTTGAGCAGCAAGAGCCATTTCCTTTACTTTGACTCTGTGCATTTTTCCGGAAGCTGTTATTGGTATCCCAGGCGCGTAGAAGAAACCACCGTGTAGTTGGCGGTTATCCGGTAATTCTTCTAAAATGTACAACAAGGAGTTATTAGTATTAATATTAGATACAATTTAAAGTTTTGTTCTATAGAAAAAAAAACTTGTGTCATAAGATTTATATGAAATTTAAACAACTTGGGTGCAAATTTTTTTAACGAAAAATTAATTACCATATTTGGTACAGATTTGGTAAAAACGGGGGACATACCAAATGCACATACGGCAGAATAAACATGTGCCTCCTTTCAAAAACACTATAAAATAATATAGCCTCTTAATGTATAAAGACATAAGTATAAATAGGTCCTATAATCTAGTTGTATTACTATTCAAACCGAAGAAAAGTGGAAGATAGCTAATTAACGACGAATCTTAGAAAATAGCAATATGTTACTTTCTAGATTCACTTTATGTCGTATCGTTATTTTTCATCAGGTGTTCTAAAATCAGGCTCAAACTAAATATGTACCTAATAAGAAATATCAATTCTAGATTTTCATTAAAAATAACAAACAAATGATAAGCGATTGAATATTTGTTGGGTGAATGGTCATATTATCAATGAAGTATGATAAAAATATTTGTCACAGCTGACGTGTTATGTAGTATTGTTATTACCTTTTATTAAATTAAAGATCTCTGATGGCTCAAATTGCTGACCATTTTTCTTTACAATAGCAGCTACTGGTACCTCCGTCAACAGATCATCAGGTATACCAACTACGCATACATCAGCGACAGCAGGATGTTTTTTGATGATACCCTCTAGTTGCAACGGAGATATCTAAGAAAATAAAAGAAATAATAATAATTTATTTGTATACATATGGTTGAAATAATTCTTAGCTAGTTTTATAGAGTCATAGTTTTAATGGCGTGCAAAATGTAAAGTCATTATTTAGGTAGATACATTTTAGATAATATCATATTTTTATTTTAAAATTTTACAATAACTGTATTTATCCTAATTACAATAAAATTATTCTTATTTTCAGATACAAAGATAATTTTTGTTGTATGCGTGATGATAATATTCTTGAATGATGTAATTAGTAGGTAAGCAAAACAGCTAAAAAAGGAAAGCCATAGAACATAGGCATTGCACCATAAATATGGATAATATTAATAGTCAGTGCAATATAAATATAAATATTATAATATGATCGAAGTATAAACATGATTGACATGTGAATACGAAAATCTGCAGCTTCACATGTTCCATGAATGAATGGGTTATTTTAGGATATCACCAATCACGTGGTTTTCCATAGAAGAAAATGTAATTATAGAGTGACTATCAGATATAGTGCATAGAATGTTTAAAAAGTATTTCTTAAAAAAAAAAAAACTACTATTACGAGCATTAAGTATTAAGTCCGCCTTTTGTACCAGACATTTTTTTGTAATGTGGTCAATAAAGAATAAATAAATAAATAAATAAACATTTTAAATCGGTCCAACCAAAGAGATGCTCTTACCATTGAATAGTATGTCAATTTTGTTTATACTGATCTTTAGAATAATGACTTAACTGAGCTATCGAATTAAAATTTACATTGACAAAATAACGCTCCAAAATCAATCCCGGTAAGTCTAAATTCTCTAATTAGTGTCTGTGTAGCTTTCAATCAATAGCGAGCGTGTCTCGCCTGCTAGCCTCTATTTTACTGCTGGTTTAATTAAAACTGTTGCGAGCAAAGAATGTTCAGCTCTTCATTTTAGCTTTTGTCATCAAATAAATTCTTGTGTTTTTCTTTCTGTTACATTGTACCTAACACAATATATGACACAGTTCAGAACTTCAAATGCATTTTTTTTTATACTATACAATATATCTAATAAATTACATGACTTAGGTACACACAAATGTTTAATTGACTCATATTATCAGGGTATGAAGTGAGTCTCAGGAATTAGAATCAATAATACTTTGTACAAAGGGATGCGATGTTGAACTTTACAGAGATTTAATGTCACTATGAAATAAATTCAATATGAAATTGTACACAACATCAATAGTAGTACAATTATGAATATTTAAAAAAGAAAGTGCACTAAGAATCTAACAATTGCAGTTTTTTTGTGTGCATCAATTCAAAAGCGGAATGTTTTCTGAAAACTGGCTAGATGAAAATTTGAATATAACAGCTTGATGTTTTTTGAAATTCGGCTATCGTGAGCGACAGCTGTTTGAATATAAACGGGTTTTTAGGCTGTTAGTTGAATATTGGTTGAATTTAGCTCTGTGATCAATCTAAATAGTAAAGCACGATATGACGTATCAGTTTAGTGCTTCACACTTGTTTTCTAATATTTTTGCTAGTTTATCAAATAATGAATGGTAAATTTATTATATACCTGCTTCTATCCTCGACTTCTTTATTTGGCCAGGATATGTATTTAGGATAAAAAGTAGCATATATCTGTTTTCATTCCATATAGTACGTGTATACAAATATAATATTGATTAGTAAAGCTGTTAAGACATCAAAAGGAAATAAACAAACAAACTCTCCTTTATGGTTATATACATATACGTTGATTAAGAATATTTACGTCTTTTAAGGTAAAGATCCGATTGCCATAGGTCGTATCTAAATTTCATAACTCATTCAATGTTCTCGTGTTTATTGTCATTATTTAAATATTATCGGACAACGGACAATATAGATTGATCTAAATAGATTGATTATTATATAAAGATATACCTGATATAGATAATTATATCAGTTGCCTATAAAATAATATACCCTGTATTACTTTATCGAATCTCAGACTGTCAATATCAATTTATAATACTATTGACGCACTTCTCATATCAATAAATTTCTTTTAATAACGTATAGCTTAGAATTAATCTAGTGAGATTGCATTGAACGTTTATTATGTATTTATATCTATAAATAATACATATAACCCTTTAAATTATATTTGGTTGTGTAATGTGACCCTAAAGTTTTAATAATGAATACTTACAAAATGACCAGCGCTCTTAATTAATAGTCGCTTCCTTTCAACAAAGTAGTAATTATTATCATTGTCTTTGTAGAATATGTCACCAGTTTTCAACCAGCCATCGTCTGTCAACATTTTTCTAGTTTCTGTAACGTTGTTCAAATATCCCTGCAAAGAAATTGTAGGTTAAAAAAGTACTTAATAATAAATAGTACGTAATTTTTAATTGACATTAATTAAATAAAAATAACAAACTCACGTCCCATTTGATGGAAAGTGCTAACTGTAACCTATAGATATGAATAAAGCCACGAACACCACAGAATATATTGTGATGCTTATGATGGGCAATATATGTATATAATAATATTAATCGTTATAACTAAGTACAGTATATATTATAATGTTCAAACTATTAACTTATGTCGTTTCACATATACTACTCGTATTAAGAATCATCATCATCGTATCAGCCTCGTATCTGTCATCATAAAAGTTTCGTAAGTATACATTATATTTTATTACAATAAAGAACAACTTAGGTATATTCAATTTTACCTTAAAGAAAGTATCGCCTTTTATCCAGAGTTCACCACTTTTGAATGGTTTTTCTATATCAAAACCGTCATCGTCAATAAGCTGAAAAAAAAATATACATTCAACAAAAGAAATAATCTTAAATTCATAATAATAAGTCAGTTTAAAAAACTTAATTAATAATTAAGAGTTGCTTGTTTTAGGATTGACTTGGTTTAAATATTTTGACTTACCCTGTACTGATTGTATTCGTAAGGTTTTCCAACGGAGCCAAATGGGGTACTATCTGTGTAATCAAAACCTGGTACAAGAAGTTCTGTCATTCCGTAAACCAAATAGAGGAACGCATTAGTTCTCGTCTAAAAAACAGAGAATAAAATATGAAATATATAATATTATACTTTCGTTATAACTTAGTAATAAGTGCAAATATAAAATGTTTACTAACTTTCATTAAATCCAGCAAAGGCTTTTCAACAGCACTGCCCGATATAAGAATGTATTTGAAGCATGTTAAGTCACAAATTTTCTCGGTGGCATGTAAAAATTGGCCCAATAAATATGGTGTCCAAGCAGTCACATGTGGCTGTAAACAATATATAGTTATAGGATTAGACATATAATAAGATGCAAATTGCTGTAAGAAGTAAATTTTAAATGGAAAATAATGTAAATGGCTAATATTATATTCCCTAACAGTCTAATTAAATATATACTATACAAATACTAGTTTAAATTGGAAAGTGAATTAAATATAATTGTCAACTTTTAATAACATCGGCATTTGATAAGTATTATATATTAAATTAATGTATATTAAATTTTGTGATAAGATTATTGCATGTTATTTATACTTGTTGCGCCTACAGTTAACAAATAAGATAATATTTTACCTTGTATTTATTTATAGTGACGATGAGAAGTTGTGGTGTCAATGGAAGAGACATTTGTAGTCTCGTATACATCCTTAAAGGTCCAGAGATAAATATTAACAGAGATGACAACCATTGGAATGTAGACATTGTCATTGTTAGTCCTAAAGGTTCGGTAAAAGGTGTCCTGGAATTAGAAAATAATAATTATTACTTTATTACTGTATTCCTAAAAGTTACCGTAAAAGTAATAAAATTTTATATGCTTATTAAGGTTATAAGGATAACTAACGTCAAACAATGAAAACTTTACTTAATCAACTATATAATTGCTTCTATATCGACTATTAATTCTGCCACCAAAAACTATTATTACCAGGAGGTAGAATTAGTATATAAATACTTACAATATTGAGAATTTTTATTAAACTAGAATTTTGAGTATCCAGTTTTTACTTATAATACACTTCAAAGCAGAAGACAGCATGCAAGCAACTAGGCGGACTAGGCAAATTTAATAGGTCAAGGAGAAGTATCTTTATTGTCGACTTTACATAATGAAATTCCCTCTAGACCAATCATTGAGCGATCAGACCTCGGACATTCTTTTCTTGCTAGGATAACGTTGTTTAAGGAAATTCTAATATATTGCAGAATTGAATAAAAATTGTAAGATAATACTCACCACCAGCGACATATTCCATTTAGGAGAGTATCGAAAGGTATGACTGCTACTTTAGGAAGACCCGTAGTCCCACTTGTCAGCATCAACCACGCAGCTATTTTGGAGTGATTGAATTCGTTAGGCCTAGAAATATAAAGTAATTAATTAAATATACATTTATTACATTATACTGAAATGCTACAATGATAAAAGATTAGAGTGCTACTAATTATTCGGACAATATCGATTTTAAGCGTAAAAATCCTTAGTCGATCTTCACCGCACGCGACAAGGGTTTTGACATTTTTGACTAAATTTCAAAGTAATAATCATTTAAACATGACTTGGAAAGTTATAAAGGTTTGGTGCAGGCGAAGACAGAACCGCAGTTAAGCATTTGCGAGTTGAATTACTCAAATTTTCCATGAAATATTTTGATCACATTGCCGCCTCTAAATTGTGGATAAGAAACAAACGGCTCGGAACAAAAGACGTAATTTCCTACAAAAAAAAAAAAAAAAAACAGGATAAACGAGATGCCGCTTTATCGCATAAACTAATTATAAATGAAAATTGTGTACCCATTAATATATAAAAGAATTAAAATAGGCAAATATATTACAAATAATTATTAAATCTTCTATGTATGCCATTTTTTTTCGATTAGTAAGTGTAACTTTATTTTTAGACTATTAAATCAATTAATTGTCATGATTTTTTACGTTTATTAATGTCATTTGTAATTAATACACAGAATTCTGTATTTCTCAAATAATTTGTATCCTTTTATTTTATTATCTTTTTTATGCAACTTAAGCAAATAAGCTGACGGCTCACCAAATGGAAAGTGGCAATCATCACCTATAGACATGAGCAGTACTATGGACATAATAGAGTTTATTATTTCGTCCATGATATCCCTCCCCCTACGTTGTCATTCCTGAGGACTCAGGTATTATTCCTCTATATCCTGTACCTATATGTATCCTTTGTTGAATTAGTTCACATTGAAACAATAAAATATATTCATTTAACTATTGTAATTAATACGTACGAGTAGATAGACCTATTCTGTCTAACACACCCCGGAGCAAAGCAAGCATTAGAATTATTATGAACATTATTATAGTATAAAATGTTGTATATAATAACGTTACCGAACACCACTTTTGTTGGTTTAATTCTCAATGAAATTATTTTTTAACTTATGGATATAATATTTAATATACATATATATATATATATATATATATATATATATATATATATATATACGAGGTTTGTCCGGAAAGTACGTATAAAAGTTTTTTAAAAATTTTATTTTACAATTATTCAGGTAAATCAATTTTATCCCCTTCAAAGTACTCCCCCTGTGACATAATGCACTTGTGCCAACGCCGTTTCCACTGTGAGAAGGCTCCTTGAAAGTCCTCTGGTTGTAGGTTTCTCAGCTGCCCCGTCGTAGCTTTTTTTATCTCATTTATGTCCCCCAAATGCCGCCCCCGAAGTACCAATTTGGTTTTTGGGAACAAGAAGAAGTCACACGGGGCCAAATCCGGCGAATAGGGGGGTGTTCGGTCACCGTAATGGAATTTTTACTCAAAAACTCACGGACAACAAGAGAGGTGTGGGCAGGGGCATTGTCGTGGTGAAGAATCCAACGCCCCTCTCGCGCCAATTCTGGACGAACTCGTGCCACACGAGCTTTGAGGCGTCTGAGCACATCGACGTAGAATTTTCCATCAACTGTCTGGCCTGGAGGGACGAATTCTTGATGGACAATCCCCCGAACATCGAACTCTTTCTCGGCCCTCTCTGAATCTTTTTAGCCACTTGTGGACGGTTGGTTCCTTCACAGCATCATCCCCATAAACTGTTCTGAGATCGGCAAAAATTTCACGGCCATTCTTGCCGAGTTTCGAGAGAAACTTGATTACGACGCGCTGCTCTTCAACGGAAGCGGGCTCCATGCCGACGGGGTTTCGTTAAGAGGTAACTTCACAGATGGCGTGACAAGCCAGTTCGCACCGCACGGCGGTCAGACCAGAACTGAAGCATTGTTAGGGACATAAGGAAGGGGTCCTGCGCTTACCTGGCCTCCCCACTCCTCTTTCTCGCATTCCAGAACACTTTTATACGAACTTTCCGGACAGACCTCGTATATATATATATGTATATATATATATATATATATATATATATATATACATAATTTTATTCATTCATGGTTTTTTATAAACTTAATTTTATTTGAAAAAGTAACAGCTAAGTGGTTTGACCGTTCTTTTTAGCTGAAATCGTTTTAAAATACATTGTAAGCCTATGTTATTAAGAAACAAGTACAACGAATGAGTACATTTTTATCTTGACTTATATTTAATCGATTTCAAAGATATTGTGATCTATTCTCTGCCGTTCTCTATTTTCATACCGAAAACATAACGTCACTTTGAGATTGCAGCAGAATTAATTATTATTTTAAATATTAACATACACCAAATTTATATTAGAATTGAATCATACTTCTAAGTATATATTTATTTCTCGGTGGTTTGTATCATTAGAGTTTAGCTAAATTAATAATATGATGAAACTTTAATTTTAGAAATAAGTTTAGGAAAGTATCTTAAAATAAAAAAATATTCTAAGTAAAAGACAAACCATATAACTATTTTAAGTTATGTCAACATTCTCACCGGAAGCCAATTTCAGTGCCGTTGTACGTCTTTATGAAATTTTCCAAGTTATTGTCCTCGTCGTCGAAAATTACAATTTTCCCTTCCTGATTACTTATCGAGAACGCTTCTTTAACATTATTCACGTTACTAGACTGGCAGAACACCATTTTTGGATGAATGTACGGGAAAAGCGCCTTGAGATCGACTGAAATTTAGAAAGAGCAATTAATTGAAAGGACCATCATTAGACGATAGAGGACTTGCACCCTCCATTGGGATTTTAAAACAAACTTTTGGGTCACTAGAGCTGAAAAAATAAAACTTTTGGCCCTTTCTTGCCAATAAAAGCGCATTGAGCTTAGAATTAGAACAAAGCTCCTGAAAATTACTGATGTAGACAGATTGAGCTTATAATAAATGTTATCTTTTTATTCTTAACTATTTTCAGTCAATTAAGACTTCATCAGTATGAGGTAAGTTATAAATTTAATGATAATATTTAATTTCCTTGTTATTTATGGCTATATTTGCGATTTATAAAATTTTTAACCAGAATGATTTATTTCTGTATATTTTTTAATTTAAATATTTTGATGGATTGTTTCGTATCGTTCGTTAATTATTTGTTTCGTTCGTTTTGGGTATGTTAAGATTGCTTATAAAATTAACATAAATATAAATATGTTATGAATTGTTTATAATATATATATACACACACACATATATATAGGTCGTTGTATAGTTATACATTATCATTTACATGTACATTATCACTCTTTTACACTACTTTCTATGTCACTGTGTTAGGATAACCAAAAAAGATCTTTTACCTTTACTTACATTATCTCTAATTATAATTATAAATTTTGAAATGCTATAAACAGTATAATATAAATTATAAACACAATATAGTTGGGTAAAAATACTCTCTATAGTCCTATTCCCCCATACCTATAAGTAATTACAAAGCTTAATTTTTAATGGAGACATTCACAACTATCATAGTTCATAGGTCAAAGTGGGTGGGTAGTTGAATAGTTACAATTATATGGGTATAATTTTTTGTGGCTATACAAAATGGATTTGATAGTTTTTTTTAATTATCTACTCTTATAAAAGTATTATTATAAAAGTGAAATGTTATTTGTTACTTCTTGATGCCTAAGTGTAAGTCGCTAAATTTCCAAGAAATATTAATAAATCGTTAGACAGTTTATTATATATCATAAGCGACTTTTTTAATACAATAAACATGTCTCAAACGAAGTTGCAAATACGGACAGCATACGAGTTTTTAAAAAAATTGTAGTCAATATTAATGAGTTGAGACTGCGGAATAGATTTTTTCGAAGGCATAGAATTATCCAAATCATTTATTTACTGGTAATATTTTCACAAAGAACAAATCTAATTCTTATCGTTATTATAAATTGCTGATGTAATTAGTTTATATCATTTATTTATTAGTCCAAACTTCAATCTTTCATGGTAGATATAGTATCAAATTAATAAGATATTCTAAATAAAGCACAACAACATAGCAAGGTAGTTAATAAAGAACTCATTTTTACGGGCGACTTTGACTGTATGCGTGACCGGAATATACTCATATTAACTGATCAGGATAAAAGTCAAACAAACACATTTTCACTTTTATAATATTAGTAAGGATTTGTGATGTTATATACTATAATCTTATTTCTGGAGACAAAGAAAAAATGTTTATGTCTACCTACATGCGAACTGTCATGAAATCCTTAATTGCCAATTAGACTTACGAGGCATTCAATTATGAAAGTATGAATTTCTCTCATATATTAAAATAAGTTATTTGCGAAATATGAGGGAGGCTTACGTTCATCTGTGGATGATGATTAGGTGAAAATGGGGAAATTTACATATAATAAAACTATGATCATATTTTGTTAAAAAGTAGTAATATAATAAATGGTTTAAACATAAAATAATACCAGTTTAAAAGATTTTTGTCTGTCTGTATATGTATATATATATATATATATATATATATATATATATATATATATTATGCAAAATCTACCACTGAGTGAATAGTATTTTTAGTAGTTGGATATTTAAACTCGTAAAGGAGTTCTCGTAGTAAATTGTACAAATGAAAGTTAGGGGAACTAGCTGCAAACGGTTCTAAACTATATATTATTTTGATCATTGTTTTAAACTACATTACTTCTGTTAAAAGGTAGGCCTGTAGTAGTTAATCGTAATTAGTGTCGGTGAGTAATAAAATGGAATTGAATGGGCCTAAGCTTAGTATAATCGTGATCTAATAGAGAAGCCTAATGTGGAATGTGCTCTCTATATCCTATATGGCCCGTATATAGCGAGAATTCTGTTTAGACGTTAATGTTCAAACTAAATTAGGTTAGAAAATAATACATTTCTGCAGGGTAGAAATAGTAAGCATCGGTATAATAAGATAAACATATTAAATATCCTTCTAATATTATAAATGTGAAAATGGGTTTGTTTGTTAACTCTTGATGTCATTACGGCTCAACCAATCACTATGGAATTTGGTATACACCTATTATATGGGATGGAGAAAGATATAGGCTACTTTTTATGTCGGTCCCGGTTGCATTGACGTACTTGTGGATAAAAGTTAGTAGTATAATATAAAGAAAAATGTTTTGGTTATATTGTTAAGCTTGTGATTTTATTTTATAAACTACATAATTTTCAAACAACGAATTAAGAGATGTAATTTATAGGCAAAAATCTTTGCCACTGGTAGGTCACTAACCTATAAGAAATCTGGCAATCCAAATTGTAATATTTAATATTTCAATTAAGTAATTTATAGAAACATTGATAACGTACTGATATTAAGCGCGTCATTAGATTAAAATTAATAAACAGCAATGAAAACAAGATTACACAAATCAATCATAACTATCAAAATTGTAATAGGTTTATATATAATCTTTCCGGTGAGTTCGATTACCTGTGAAAGGTGTCTTTGTTATGTCTTAACATGTAAGTTTAATACAAGTAGTATTAAACTTACATGTAGTTATAACATATATAATATAAAACTTTAATCACAAATTCTACTAATAGTATAAATGTGAAAGTTAATGGATATTTAGAAAGTTATTCGATCACAATGAAACGGTTGAACATATTTAAATGAAATACAATACTTTTCCTACTCGTATTTTCTACAAGCAAAGATGGAATGCAGTTAGTTTAATATAAAAATTTTAATTTTCATAAAAATAAAAACTAAAAAAGTATTTTACAAATATTTCATTGATTTTATATATACTATGCGAAAACGGTGCCCATCTTTGATGGGTAGGGTCAAGGTCAGCTCTAACACTATCCTAAGGGTATTTGCGGACCGTCCAAACCGCCAGTATTTCAATTCGTTGTAGTTTGATTCACATGCTGGCTAATATACAAAAAAGTAGGTTAGGTTGTTATTGTTGTCTGTATTGTTTTTCTTTATTTAATGTTGTAATAATTAATATTGTGTAATTGTAATAATTTAATATAAATTTATATTGTATAAAAATTGTGTGGGTCCTGATTCTAACCCCATTGAAGAATTTATTTATTTATTATTAATATTTGTTGGTATTCTTTTTAACTTTATAGTTATCCCGTCTTATTTCTTAATAATATTAAAAAAAGTTAAAGTTTGTACAGATGTTTGAATGTTCATTACTCGTAAACGCTTTAAACGACTAAGTGAAATTATGTTTAGAGATTGCCTATATAAATATATATTTTTCTGGAATATATAATTTTTATCTTAGTCAAGATTACAGCTAGTTACACATATACACATGTATAATATAACAAGTAATCTTACTTAATGCGGTGTTTGGATCCATTCCGCACATTGAGAATCCATTAAAGTGACAAGCGTAGTAAGGAATCGCTATGTCCAGGTGGTTAGGGCCCATTACGACTACCGCGTCACCAGGTTTTAGCCCATAATTATTCATTGCACTAGCTAATCGCATGCTTCGAGTTGCCACAGATAGATTCCTTTCACTTGTTCCCGTTGCTGCATCGATCTGTAACATAGAAAATAATTATTATTATTGTCTGTATGTAGTACTTAATAGACAGTGGGGTAGGTATAACTAAATTTATCACTGTTATAATGATATAATGTGTCCCCAGAGTAACATCAAGTTATGCTTGTGAACTTTCAAAGAACTATATAGGCTACGTTGGCGGTTAAGAAAATAAATTCGTACGGCACGGCAAAAGTAGCTTTCAAAGAAGCTTTTTTTATTAATCATAAATAAAATTAATATTGATCAATAATGTCACTATTCTTATTTAACGAATAAAACGTATCTGTGCACGTTTTATTCTTTTTAAAGTAAAAATAACTGATGTTTATAGACACATTGAACGAATACATCGCGTTATAATAATCAAAGATACTCGAAATTTGATAATATCTCTTGCAACGCATTTAAAAATAGATTTTTCAAAATATGTTTATTATTTTTATAAGATATATTTTTTTTATTAAAATTATTTTTTAAAGTTAAGGACCTGCAATTGTCGAAACGTTTAGATATATAAATAATAATTATACATATATATGTATAAATATATATAATATTATATTCGATTATAGAAACAATTTGACTATTAGTAATATTGATATAGTTTACGAATTTGTGTAAATTTAATAACTAATGAGACATTTCTGCTTCCGAAGTTAAGGCTTAAGGGAATTATTATCCGGCGATACAGGAAATCTTGGAATCTAGTTTATATATTTATCATAACGGAATAAAATAATATTAGGTTACTCATATCAATTGTAGTCGGTTTATGAACCATGTTTTATCTATTAATATTAAAATTGCTGATTTTTAAAGAACATTTGATTCTCTTTTTCATTTAGAACTAATCTGGCAAATAAAATCGAGAAAGTATACATAAGTCATTTAATAATTTGTTTGTATTATAGATATATTTATAAAGTTTGCATGCATAATTAGATATATAAGTATCATTAATTTACTGTTTTTTTTTTTTTTATTTTCACAATATTTGATTTGTTACGTGTGTTATTACAATAGAAAATAAAATAAATATCACTTTTTTCTAATGCACATTTTTATTCTTATCTAGCTTATATAGCATTCCTTGTAATGATAAGCAAATAACTAACTAACTAGTGACAAAGGAGAGAAATATATATTCTATGATTCAATGGAAAATATTTAATTAAGCAATTAATATGATTATGAATTATACAAGCTAATTAATCATCTGTTAATAGAAGATAAATATGTAATATGAGAAATTCACATAACATAATTCTCCTATTTTCTTTGAAATAAATGAACACTTAATTGTACATAATTTAGTTAACAAAAGTTGTGTATTAAATAGTATAAAACAAATATAATATCTAAGTTTTTTTTTAATATACCAATCCAAAGAATTCTTTATTTATTTATCAGAAACAAGTGATTATTGCATCATATAACAAAGTAATCGATATACGTTCATCCACAGAATAATCCATTAAACTGGGTCAGATAAGTATTAAGAATTTCCTAATATAAGTACATTATTTGTCTGTTTTGTAACAACGACCTTGTGTATTCATTATAATTATATTTCTGTATATTAATTTGAAAAAAATATCTGAAACTATTTGAAAAAGTTAAGATTCGTCTATTTTCTATATATACTTTTAGGTTAGTATTGAGTAATGAAAATTTAAACAAATTCTTATGTAATAACTTACAGGTCGTATTATAAACAATTGAATAGTATGATTAGGTATTTAAATGCAAGTCCAGTAATATTTTTAATATCATGATAATTGAAATAAGTGTAAGTAAGTAAAATAAGTAACAGCGGCGCATATTCATCGTCATTATGTCAGCCGTAAATCGTCCACTACTGAACAGAGACCTCTCCCTTGCCAATACGATCTATTTAAAACTCTGAGACAGACATATACATAGGGTGCAAATACCTAAAAAAATATAATACTCCTTATTTGAAATTAATCACACAAACAATATTTGGAATATCACTATACCAAATTTTAAAATTTATTATCTATATTAAAACCTACAAATGTAAACATCTTGATAATAGACATAAAAAGGTAATAAAAAGAATCGTGTTCATTTAAACATAGTTTGTATTTTATATTTTTGTAAAAATTTAATTGCAGAGACATCTGAGCGACAGTGGTCTATGTCGAAATGTTGGATATGCTATTATCTTCACAAAGTGCATAATAAAAAAGGTCATATATCGGTTTTAATATAAATAAGTTTCAAGTACGGAATTTTACGAAATAAATATATTTTTTTAGTACAAACCTGATTCAACATGTCAGGTTGTTCCAACATGCCTTGTAACACAAGATGTCCAATGTGGCACTTTTCCGGAGCAATATTGTATTTTGCCGCAGATTTTAACTTTAACGCATTAACACGTTTATTGATGTTTACTTCTCCGATACCCATTTTAGTGAGTCAAATTTATTTGAAATTTAAAGAAAAATATAATTTGAGTTTGACTCCTGATGTTTCCAACGAAACACGTACAAGTAATCAAACTTTTAATGTGAGCAAATATATAAAGCTGGCTCGATTGTTATCTATAAAATCAGTGTCCGTAATAATTTTTAAATTTTCCCTGCTTAATAGATAATACTCACATATCATTAATATCAACATACGCTTTGATATTAGACGTTGCATAGATATATGTGTTCTTGTGTTCACCTGTCGTTTGCTGTATATATCGTAAATAATATACTTACATTGTTGCTGTATGAACAATGGTTCGATGTTATAAACAAAAATTTTTTATTACTTTAAATTTAAATTACAATAAAAATAAATATGTAAATTAGTTTGTACTGAAAAAAATGGTGTAAATAAAAAAAATAAGTTTTGCCAATTTATTCGTAAATTGCGCTATTTAATAAAGAAAAACATGATAATTACCTTTTTCGGTATACAACGAAATAAAGCGCGAGAAAATATGAAAACACAAAATTGATTGTCAGTTTTTTTTTATTCCCACCACGACAACAATAATGTTTACTTTTTATTTTTTCAAATATTTGCAAAGTTTTTATTATTTTAGCTTTAGTACAAATACGCATAGTCTGCTTCAATAGAACTTAATTAAAAGGTAACCACGTTTTGCTAAAATAATCACAAAAATACTGTCTAAATGTAATGTTTCACTTTCACTGAATTCCATTGAAGCAGACTATCCTTTGTTCTTTCATTATTCTGACGTTTTTCTGTAATATGCCTGTACTTTTTGTTAAAAAAAAAACTTGGAGACATGAAGTTCTTGGTGTTGCATTGTGGATATGGATATTTGTCTAATACGTAATTTAGGACTATAAACATTATAAGTAGCAATTTCTGACCTTATTATAAGTAAACATTGCCTACTGTTCATGCTACTGTACATAGACACAATTGGAATTGCATAGTCTATATTTTAGTTTTCATGTATATTAGGTACTTATTTTCTTTATTGATTTTAAATGGTTTCAGATAGCATATAAACTTACTTACACTTGTTTTTCGGTATATCTAAATTATTCTTTCAGGAATTTATCATTGTGCATAAATCCTTAGAAAGAGCATTTCGGCATATTATTGATACCTGATAAGATATATTGCATATACTTATGTTAAATATAACCGATCAAAGTATTAGCCAATTATTTTAATATTAATTTAATTGTTTATATGACAAATTACGTTTCAATATACTCTTAAATTAAGATATGTTCACACGTTGAATCGTTATAGATGGTTTCTAACTGATAAAAAATCATTAATAATAATAAACGACGTCAATGACAAATAGATGCAAAAAATATAAAAACGGCAAGTCAGCCATTGAAGATTTATCATAAATAACATTAACTTTGACAGCTCTTGTAAATACGATCAAATGAAGGCAAATTACAAAAATAACAGTCAAATAACGATAATTATATGTATGTATTCACGATTTATTGATGTGTGAATGGAGGCTAAGTCTTTATTCAATACATCACAAAGTTTTAAAAGAAGTCTTTATCAGTAATTGATTACACATAATAAAATTATGTACTTATTATATTTATGTCCTGTGTCCTATGTACTTATAAATACATATGTTACCACATGGAAGGGTAAGAACAGCGCAATTAGATTTTAATGCTTATGAGTTATAATTGTGACGTTATTTATTACATATCATATATTACGCAGCTATATTACAAATGAATAATTTAGTGGATTTGTAGGATAATTTCCTATAGACAACATGTAGCTATAATACTTTCTACACGGTCCATTCATGTCTTTTTAGGTCTTCCTCTAATCCTCTAGCCATCCATATTCATATTACTTTTCTTAGAATATGCTGTTCACTACTATATAATCAATAGTGTAAAATTCTATATATTATATTTTTAAAGTAATTTATAAAAAATGTAGTCATGTTTTAGTCGAACTTATATATCATTATTAGAGGATAACTACGAGTACTGTAAAATCTAATGAAGTCTAACATCATACAATAAGGGAATAATCAGCCTCAAATAGTGTTATTACATTCAACTTTACTAAGATTTAATTCACATGTCTACCTGTTTAATAGGTAGCTAAAGGAGTTACTTTGTTTTATTATTTCAGTACCATCGGTATTTATTATCTGATCTTCCAACGACAAACTTTTAAATAAAACATTGATCGTAAATTAAACTTTATGGTAGATCTATTTGATTCATTGTTTGTAATAGTCTAACACAATATAGGCTGAGATGTCTTATAAGGCTAATACATTTTAGTTGTATATTTTGGAAAAACATTTATTGAGGTATTATTATATTATACACTTATTTATAGATTGAGAGTGGGAAGTAGTCTATATTTCGTTGCACGGTATTATTTTCAACCTTATCATATTTTTGGATAACTATTTTATTTGGTGTTATAATGGTATTTTGTAAACAATTATAATAAGATATTACTAATCTTTACTCAAATATTCACATGTTTTGTCACGTTTCCGTATTTTATTGCTGAGTTATAGTAAAAAAATAATAATGTTCACATATTAGCATTGTTAATAATAATCAACTTAAACAAAAAAATAATTAATAGTATTTTTAATACAACCTATAATAACAAATAAACTTATAATCAAATTAACTCAAACTGGTAACCTTTGCATTTAGTCATGAACATGCTGACCATGGGTTTAATTTTAAGGGTTTGGATATAATATCTTACCCAGTAATTTTACTCTCTTATCTCAGATTTAATAAGGTTATCTGTGGATACATCTGTCTTACACTTTACACACGCTACTTTGTACTAGTCCGTCTAGTTATGTCCAAATCCGGACGGACAAACTGTCCGTGTCTGGTATAAGTAAGTCCAAAAAGTATGTTAAAGAGAGACTCTGTGTACTGTGTACTGCGTACCATGGTTTTATCTCCGCCGTTTTAAAATATGGAATTATATTTTATTAAAGCTATGTTTTTATATAGCTTTAATAAAATATAGTTTTATGTTTTTAAAGCACAGAAAAGATGTATAAGGACCATATGCCGAATAAAAAAATTAGATAGATGCGTACTCCATTTTCATTCTTTGAAACTATTAGCTTTAACAAGCATTTATGGGTAAGAAGTGGCTACATTCATAATGAAAAATTCTCATTTGTTCACTTCACAATATCATTCACAACGTTTGGCTCAAAAGAAAACCAATTTACATTAGCCTTACTCAATATAGCTCCAAAAATTTACATCAAACTACCAGATAACTTGAAACAACTACCTGCAATGGAATTTAAATCTAAACTGTGCAGAATTTTAATAAATAAATGTTATTACGATGTGGACACCTTCCTAACAGATTTATCATTCTGAAATCATAATTGTAAATAGATTTCTTTCTTTTTAATTTTTATTATGATTTTGTATTTAATATAATGCAATTTATTTTATTTTATTCATTAATAAAACTGTTCATATTACTAAACATTATGTCATAATTTGTACACCAAATGATGGCAAAACATAGCGTTCTATAAATGTAATATAGTAATATCTATATGCACGTTTGTTTATGCAAATAAATTATTGATTGATTGAACAAAATCGTTTCCTCGTTATAATATTCTTAGACGAGTTACAGTAGGATAACAGTGCTACTGATTATTTATTATTATTATGCAGTAAGTGAAATCAAATGTCTTTGTATTATAAGTAAGTACCATTAGTTGTTGTCGTGTACTTTACCTTAATAAACATTTAACGTCTTATTGCTGAGCACGGGTCTGTTCTCATTATAGTAGGCTAATTAAGTGCCATGCTGGCTTGCTAGAGTAGTAGTTCCATTTTGTGTTTTCCTTCTTTTTCATTACGTTTCGTTTTCTTTATCGCTTCATATATCATTGTACGGATGAATAGGGTTGGTGACATATTGTGATCTTGCTTTGATAGTATAAGATCACACTGATAACTACATGAAAATTATTAGAAATCCATAATGATTTTAAGATTTATACAGCGTGTACAGTTTCTTCTGTAACACTTCCACAATAATTTGGTCCAAGGAGGCCGATAAGATCAACAGCTCCCGACGCGCAACGCCCGACGTATAACATAAAACTTTAATGAGTTTCGCCTCTTCTTGTTATCTCAAGCTAGATTCTACAAAGTTTTACGTTGTTCTGTTTATTGAACATTGTACAGTTTCCTACAACTCAATATGAAATTATGTTTAAGTTTTAATTAACCGGTCAGAATTAACTTGAGTCAACTTTCAGTTAAACGAAAATAAATACGCAGATAGTATACGTAATAGTTTTTTATTTAAAGTCTTAAATAAAGATACAATTTTATTTATCTTAAGACGAGTTTTCACATGATTTTTTGTTGATGTCTTAGGTCACGTTAGGTTAGATGTTCATTAAAGATGACATTATAGAAATAGGTTACTTACATTTTTAAGTTTATCATTTTAAACAATTTCTATTCAATGCTCTACAAATAGCTTAATTAACATATTTGGTATGTCGAAGTATTTTTTATATATTTTTTGAAAATACCCATAAAATGATAGAAGTTTTAAAGTATTAACTTGACCATTTGGAGAGGATAGATGTAAGAAGAATTACGAAAGAGATTTATTAAGCAAGAATGAATGGAGATGTCGGCAGGGGCCGCCTTGACGAACGTATGTTGCCCAAATAGACGAGGTGCTAAAAAAGGGCCAAATAAAAAGTACCCGAAACCGGTGAGCGTGTATGAAAAGATTGATGTATTATATGTGGAAGAGGCGAAACAGGTTTGTTTGAATCAAAGTATTTGGCGTTCCATTGTTTCTGCCTACCTTAATGGGAGACAGCCGAGATAGATATGTATTTTAAAACTATTTAAGAAGTTACATTTTTCACTACACATTAAGTAAAGTATAGTAGTAAAAGGTATAGCTGTAACCCGCTTAACCTGCATTATTTAGGATAAAAAGTGCCTTACGTGTTGATCTAAAATTTTATCTAAGATGATCAATCATGTATCCAATT